GTCGGAGTTTATTAGGGGTCCACTAGATGAATTCGCGAGTTGTATTAAAAATGGAAAAGTTGGATGTATCAGAATAATTCTTTATCTATAAAATTTTATTCTGAGGTTTCAGTTTTTGGATTATCATTCGTGTTTCTTTTCAACAATTTTATTTATTCCTGTTTATCTTAATTGTATTCTGTGTTCATTTATTGTTAATTGATTTGATATCCTCGGGTAATCAAGCGTGGGCCTGGCCAACTCGCATCCGGAAATCTGGGGGGTATCACATTTATGGCTTAATGAGAAAGACTACAATTATGATAGGTTTACTGGTAGAGATTTTGGAGTGACTGCGAATTGACAGCCATTTCCTATTAATTTAAGTACCAAATTGTCACCATTTAACTCCCCATTTATGCTAGTTTAGTCACAATTTAAGCCATCATACATATGTAATTTTTCTTTTCTTTTATCCTCATCACTTATCTAATATTATTCTTATTTATTATTTTTTTCACACAGCCCCCATACATATATATAGTAACGTGACTTTATACATATATATGGCTTCATATTAATGGCTTCATATAGTAATGTTCACACTGCATAACTAGTAACGTTCATTTCTAAATATATATGGCTTCATATATCATTTAATATTATATATCATACACATAATTCTTACACAAAAAATATACAAAAAAACACCATCATATAAACATACATAGAAGGTCCAAACCCAACATAGCAAAACAGAGAACCTTCCAAATACTCCTTCACACCAAACTTCCGCACATCGATAAGGGGTCCTTCACAACCAGCCGCCTCCAAAACAGCCGTCCTTCCTCAAGTTCCGTCGTCGCTTATGGCGTCAGAGGAGTTGAGAACTTCCAAGACCTGGTCGTCAGACTCGTCCTTTCACGGCGCTTCAAGCCTCTTCATACGCCGATCCACCCTCCTCACCATACTCGACAAGCGAGTCAGGTCACTCCCGAAATTATCTATGCGCATAATAAGGTATTGCAGGGTAGGGGAGGATCTACAACAAAGGGTGTTTGACGCACAGAAATGGGACTGAGGGTGGGGTAATTGGGGCTGGCTGCGCGTCTTCTATGGTTTGGTAGCGCACCATTGGTTGGCCTAGAGGAAGACATTTTCTTCTGGGTGCTTCTAACACTACTCATAACATATATTTATAGCAAAAGTGGTGGCATTGTGGGTGGGAGTGGTTGTTGAAGTCATTTGTGATTCTAATCCATAGTTCAATTAATATTCAACTACCCCAATACACATTTATTATTCTATTAGAATTCTATTTACATATTATATTGATTTTATGTACGTATGTATTGTGATTTTATGTACTATAAGTATTGGGATTTTCTGTACGTATGTATTGCGATTTAATGTACGAATATCTTGAGTTATTATGTACGTACGTGTGTGGATGTTATGTACGTAAGTCTTCGCACAATTATTCTGGGATATTTAGTACAAATTATATTAACAAAATTATGTATTTATTGGGTTGTAATGCAAAAATACATTTGTACATGTTCGTACAATTCTGGCAGAATTAAGTAGTTGCCTTGTTGGTCTCATACCGTAAATATATACTCTTAATTTTATATCAATATAAATTTTAGCATCAAATTTTGTAATTAATATGACTTATATAACTTTATCAACTTATATCGTTGCATTTACCATAAACAAATCAAGAAAAATGGAGGTGTTTTACAATACCTCTTTTTAGATATTGTCAGCTAGGGATAGTGAGAGTCGAACAGAGAGCAATGGGTCAACATGTGCCAACACCTAAGCCAACAGTCCATTCTTGGTCTCAATGTTTGATTGGTACATTTTTTATCCTTCAAGTAACATAGTGAAACTTGTGCAAAGGTGAGTGTTAAAATTGGAGTGAATTTTTGTACAACCATTTACTATTGTCCAGTTACAATTGCTGACATAAATGATTCATATCTTTGATCCATGTAGGTAAAATAATATAGAAATGTTTTCTACACATTACATTATTTTGTCCTACCTTGTAATGTTTTGTACAATAAAATAAAATAAAATAAAAGAAGAAAAATTAGTAATTTAGAATACCTCTTTTTCAAACTTGTCACTCGATGATACTGAGACTCGAACCCAGGACAAAGGGTCAACATTTACCAACACCTAAGCCAAGAGTCCATTGTTGGTCTCAGTGTTTCATTGGTACATTTTTTATACTTTAAGTAGCCTGACTTACATTAATATTTCTGAACAAACAGTCTATCCAATTTGACAGTGATCCTCCTATGTCTTCCTTGCTTACAAAACATGGTCATACCCAAAATAAGACATATATTTTGTAATGTTCGAAGAGTCAATTTACAAAACATGGTGACACTGAATATGTGGAAAATATTAAAAGGATGCACATAATGAATACAACGTCAATTACATGACAGCTAAAGGTAATAAGGCCAACCGAAGTAGGCCATAAACTTTGTACAAGAAGTCCAAAAGGTTACAAAGATACACACAATCAATGAAAAGTCAATTACATGACAAGTTTCTTCTCAATATTCGAAGAGTCGATGCTGAATTGGATGATTCATCCCCAACTTCATTGCCATTCAAGATATTGGCGTCACATTCACTTACCTAGGTGTCTGCAATTAGCCAGAACGACAACAAATGTAATCCAACTAATTTTACTAAACTATTATCTGCGTTACTATAATGAGAACAATGAAATCAATTAGTGGAGAAAGAATAAATGATTACCTCATCACCTTCCAAACAATGAGCACTTGATTCATCATATAAAGAGGGAGTACTGAACAGTTGAGATGACAACATGGCTAGATCGCCAATATCAGCCTGAAACATTTATATTGTTGACAATACATATTAAGGTAGGAAGAAGGGAGGCCTTAGGCATCCTCCCAGACTACTATATGATTTTAACCATACCATTGATCACCTTAGTTTATCTGATATTCCAGTGGATAATGGATAATTTACATGGGGTAATAAAAGGTTTAGTCAGAGAAGAATTTATGCAATGCTGGATAGAGATCTTATGAACCACGATTGGGATAATTTTTTTCCAACTTCACACATTATTCTTACTCCACAACATTGATTTCAGATCATAGGGGACTTCAACTGAAAACTCCTTTGCACATTGGTGAAGGTCCAAAGTTGTTGGTGTGGAATAAACAGGAAGTGGTTAGCAACATTATCTCTGATGTGTGGAAGACTAATAGTCATGGGAATCCAATCCATAAGTTGCTATACAACTTTAGATTGGTTAAAAGGGCTGTCAAAAAATGGAATGTTGAGGAGTTTGGGTCTGTTTTTGAGGAGGTTGTTGCTATTACGAAGTCTCTTGACCAAGTGCAATTCAGTTTAGCTGAGAATCCTATGAATGATGTTTTCATTGAGTAGGATATTAAACAGAAATTTGAATGTGCTAGCTTTAATGAAGCAATTCTTCTATCTCAGAAGACAAGAATTACTTGGATAAAGGACCAAGACAGGTGCATAAGGTATTTGCATCAGCAAATTAAGAGCATACGGCTCGAACCAATATCACTGTCATTCAGGATGCGAAAGGGAATTTTATACATGATTATGGGCATATGAAAGACAATGAGGAACTTCATTTTGGGGCATGATGAAGATATTATAAAGATACAAAGAATTTAGAATGGAAGAAGCTTGCTGCTCCTAAAGAAGAAAGTGGTTTGGGGGTGAGAAGAGTTTTGGATATTGATTTACCTGAAAAGTGTGCATTAGCTTCAGATATTTTTACTATCGAAAGATAGGATTTCGATGGTTGCGTATAAACATTGTTCATGTTACCTAAGGAATACATCCTTTTGGTAAGTTATTCCAAAGGTTTCAGATTCTTCTATATGGAATAGTATAGTTGCATTTTAGGGGACTTCATGAAGATCAACTGTAAGTATGTTATTGGAAATGGAACTGACATCTACATTTTTCTTCATCCTTGGTGTGATGGTAAAACGATGTCAATTTTTTTATTCACATACAGTTTTCGATCAAGGGTTTGGGGATGAAAATGGATAATATTCCAACTAATCTACATCAGTCTTTTTCTGCAATACAAGATTCATAGAAAAACAAAGAAAATAATGCATCTTAATTAACACACTTACATGGTTAACTGATGAAGTACATGGTTCACCAATATTAAGCTGCCTGTTGTGGAATACAGCTGGTGGTGTTACGTACGATTCTTTATTCAGAAATTGGACGGGAATTTCTGCATCATAAAATATTTCATATGAACACTATCAAAGCACATTTAAACATAATCAATATATTAACCAACAGTCATGAATACTAACTACTTATCTATAATATACTTGCAATCATACTCACACTCACTAACACGTAGGACGGGGTTGACGGACTATCGCTGCCATCGGCCTCTCCCAAAACAACGGTTTTATTTGATATCTAAAACATAAAAATATTTTAGTTTCTTCCACTCACGAGTGTTTTATGAGGAATGATACAATGTTATGAAATCGAATTTATTTTGTTCGCATGTTCAAATAGTTAAATAATGAAATAGCAGTGCGTGCGACAGTAACGTATACCTGGCCTGTTGCTTTCATTGACTTCCTCCTTTTCCCACTATTTAACTCTATGGCTGGTTTCAGCCTCTTAAATCGTCCTTTAGAGGTATCTTTAACTTTCAGGGACATGGAAACTGTTCCACTGCTGCTTTTGACCTTTTTTTTCCCTTAAGCAATTTTCTCTGCAAACCTACGACCACAACTTATTTGTACTGTTATTTTCTAGTCCAGTGCTTTTTTTAATAGATCATTACATCCTTCGGGATCGTGTGATGTAATGGAAGATATTTCAGTCAGTATACGGCAAAGTGTCCTATATCGCCGCCTAATCTTGAGGATCCGGATTCACGTTGGCGGAAACAATTTTGTCCAACTACCATCTCTAGCATTTCTAGTCCACCTTTTTATTATATATCAGGAAGGAAACTCATTCACAAACATGCAGTCTTTAAGGATTTCCAGACTGTGCCTGCACAAATAACCCTCTCTTTCAAATTTACAACATGAGCATGACAATTCATCTTCAAATGTCCTGATCACACGACATTGCACCCCGTCCTCACCAGCAACTTTATAAACACGGTGTCTATTGTTATCCAAGTCACTGCAACTAGTAACAGCCTGACTCACAAGAGCAACTAAAAACTCCTCCTGGAAAATCTGAAATATTGCCTTGTTGTACACCTTCCCCGCTTGATATAATATGTGGCACTTTGTTTTTAGTTCCGGTTGACTCTCCATCAAGCCATACTTGGCTTCATACTCCTTATACCGCTTGTCTGACAACAATTTGTCAAAGTGTGTGAAGAATTCTGGTAGAATAAGTTATCTGGAAAGGTAATACTTCAATTGACCATTGAAGCTTTCACTCAATTGCGTGCTACTCAGTTCTACAGACTAGTCGTGTTTGACAAATACAAGGGCCCATTTATGTCTCAAATCTAACAAAGTGGAAAGCCACTTATTACCACCAACACCATACTCTGCAATCACTAAATCACATTCCCTAATAAAACCATCCTCCTCCTCAATTTGGAACATTAATTTTGAGATGACCTTCTTTATTCCTTCAACGCATTTAAACAGAAACAGTAGGTTCTTCTGCACATTATTCATTAAGTGCCAAAAACATAAATGATGATTTGTCACCGGTATGGCCTGCAAGATTAATTAACTTAATACCTACGTTGCAATATTGCAAATACAAAAAATACAACTAAAATAATACGATTGTTTCAGCATGAAAGTGACAAGAATGGAGATGCATGAAAGTTATTCACCTACTTTAATGCCTTCACCATTGTAGCATCTTGATCTGTAATAATAGTCTTTGGCACTTTTCCGCTCATCGCTTTCAAAAACGTTTCAAATAACCAGACAAACGAATCCGCTGTCTCATCATACATTATGGCTACTCCAAACACAGCGGTCCCCCGGTGATGATTCATACCCAAGAAAATTGCAAATGGTCTATTGCCGTGTACCACTTTATATGTTATGTCGAAACTGATAACATCTCCAAAATGGCCATAACCAATTATCATTCTACAATTTGACCAGAATATGTTCGTAATCATTTGCTCAGTATCCAGTTGCAAGGAATAGAAGAACGAAGGATCTTCACAAGCATGCGTCTCAAAATAATCCACAAGCCATGCCGCCTCTCCATAAAGAAGCTCCTTTTGTCTTTGCGTCCTTAGATAATTTTTAAGATTCAATTCCAAGTACCCAACTGATTCTTTGCCACCAGATTGCCTTCCCATCAACTCATATGCATTCCAAGCCGGAACTCTTGAATCCGAAGCCAACTAAATATCAATGGCCTGGACTGAGGAAATTCGTTGCTGAGACGGCATCATGTGGCTGCATTCAGCAATTATGAATGGATGGTTGTGACTTTTTACAAATTTAGAAACTATGTACTTTGCCTTTGGCTTGTCATATCTAAGAACCATTTGTGCACCACAATTGGTTCGTGTTTCAGCCCGGGGAGTCTTTCTAAATACATCCCGTTTATCAATCCCCTTCACACCTTCCTTGCTACAAACTAACGCCCTTGATGTAATTCTTCCATTAACTTTATTTCCATACTCCTTCCGGATGCTAAAACCAATTCGACCACCATATGCATTGTAAAAATCATTTGCCTCTTCCTCACTATCAAACTCCATTTTATACGTTGGTTTCCATTTAATCACTTCTGGTTCTACAACAGGAACGTTTCGTCCGTTTGTTGTGTCTTGAATATTATTTACTCCACCTTCCATCTGAACGGCTCAAATACAAAACATTTTCTCACATATGCACAAAATATTGAATTAACAAAAAATCATTTTACTTGTACATCCCAAGTATGTTCCATCTCAATGGCTCAAATACAAAATATTTTCACATGTATGACCAATCAAATAAAAAACTTTTTCACATGTATGAGAAATTAAATTTGACATATATCTTATTCATTTATTTGCATGTATCAATCAAGTATATCCCAGACAAACGAGGACAAAAATCCTTGTTGCCACAACAGAACATATATGTCCAACCAACTGATGCTAATTTCACATACATTTTCTGAAAATGTTGAGATTAATATTACGCAAAATTTGGGATTTATGTTAGCAAACAGTTGGGATTCACCTTACGAAATGTTGGGACTCACCTTAGGCAAAATTTGGGATGTACCTTTTGAAAAAGTTGGGATGTAAATTACGAAACCTTTGGGATTCAAATTAAGAAAATTTTGGGATACACTTTACAAATACTTTGGGATTTATATTACGAAAATTTTAGAATGTACCTTAGGAAAATGTTGTGACTCACTTTACAAAAATATTGAAATTTAGATAAGGAAGAATTTGGGATGCTTATTAGGAGAAAGTTGGGATGCAACTTAGGAAAACATTGCGATGCAAGCCCAACGACCAAACATTTTCTTAACATTGTAACACTCTGAAACACTCTTTTCCGGGCTAGTCATGTATCCTACAAATCCTCTCATTTTTTATCGTCATAAACAAACATTAAAACCCCTAATAACTGCACAATAAAATAGCGATCAATTCAAATTCAACAATAATTTCTATTTCTGGGTTTCTTACCAAAAATGTGTCTATATATTCTTACTAGTTATATTTTTTTCTGCCATTCAGTTCTTATGGAAATAAAGACGACTTCCTTCAAAATCAAATCTCAAAATTATGAATCATACCTGCTTAGGGTTGGAAATAAGGCGATCAACTGCTTCGATTTGGAAATACACTCCTGCTTAGCTTTGGAAATACACTGCTGCTTCTTTTTGGAAGGAAATCAGAATCTGCAATTTTATTGTGACTAACAGAAGCGCTGCTTCTATGTGGAAACAATTTGTAGCATCCAAATTTTGGGTTGATTTACATAACAATCGCTACTTCTGGATTCTATTTGGAAAGAAATAAATTTCTAAAATGGCTTCATTCATATTTTGGGAGAGAATAAGGCTAGTGGCGGGATTTGATTTCTATTTCAAATGCCGCCTAAAATGAGGGAGGGAAGAGGAAGAAGAAATAAGGGAGGGAACAAAAAGGGTGTATTCTTCAACAGTATATATATATATACATGAAAATTCTATATTACAAAAATATATTTTTTTAACCAAACATGGTAAACACTGTTCAATGACCCAAAATGGAGCAAATGGGGCACTGTGGGACTGGAGGTGATCCTGGTCCTAAACAACACATATATATACCCCCTCCCCCTCCTTGCCCTATGTAATTAATATATATATATATATATATATATATATATATATATATATATATAAAGCATTTATTCAAGCCAAGTCAATAACCAAAAAGAAAGGGTTTTTTTTTTTTTTTTCTTACATGAATTGTCCAATTATCAAAATTGTCTCCTAGCCGTGCCTTCTGCGCCGTAGGTCAACATGGGCAGACCCCGTCTGCTCTGCATGCTGATTGTTGCACTTCGCCTCCACTCTCTCGTCCTCCAATAGTGGGCGAGCCAGTAGAGGTACGTCCCTTAACTCCATCTTTGAATAGAGCTCTATGTTCTCCCTTCGCAGGGTCTCAATGATTTGCATTAACTCGTCGTTCCTGGCCCGTTCGTTCTTCGCTTGTGGATGCAAGCTTCCTTCTCCGACCATGGTTCCCGATCGGAGCTGTGTCATGGTTTCGGTGTTGAAATCGACCAATTTCCTCCTTTGATTCTCGCAGATGGCGCAAGATGTAGATGCAAGAAAATTATTGTTTCTATTAGGGAAAGTTTTTCTCTTACACCAAATACTCTGCATCTCTTATCCTCTCTCTTTTATCCTCTCTTACTTCTATTTATAGTAGTTTACATATTGCCCTAAATTCCTTTCTTGGCTTCAAAGTAGAAAGGCTGATGGGCTAGACTTTCTTCTTAGGCCCTGCGGTTTAGAGGTCCGTTTCTGTTATGGATGTGGTTGGGCCTAAAGACCGCTATATAATGTTCCTGATTGAGTGGTTTGGGCCGAATTTGGCCCATTGGGATTTATGGCCCTTTCAGGATTTAAATTACATAATTATGTGCTTACTTGTGTGTATTTGTGTTGTTGTTATGGTATTTATTTTACGGTATTAATAATGCATTTGGATTGTATTTATTGGGTTGGGATTTATGTTGCTGGGGCATGGGGATTTCCATGGGCCAGCTCAGAATCCGATTTGGGCTTATTAGACAGACTTATTTGATTGGTTTATTTTGGACTTATTAAATGGACCTAATTGATGGGCTTATATTGTTAGACTTAGTTATACGATTAGGTTAATTAGGATGGGGGAAGGCAGACTATACTATACATTTAGAGAGAGAGTCCTAGGCTGGACTCATCTGTGTGCGTTCTAGGTCGTGAAAGGAAATCAGGAGAGGGCTGCAAATCCTTGGCTAGAGGCTGGAAGATTCGTATTGTTGCTCCATAATCGTGAGACAAGTACCCTTCTTCTCTTCCCCTTTGAATCTATAAACGTTTCAGCTCTGTGAAACGGAATCGTTATACATAGACACTGTTAAGAACTCTGATTCGATTATGAAATTTATATATTAAACCTGAAAATGCCCTGTTATTCCGAACTGCAATAATAATAATATTCCAATTGCTATGTTTCTGGTTGGATTACTGTATATGCCTCTATATTACGGAACTGTATGATTTTATAATACTACGATTTTAACATGTTAGGTTCGAATTCTATATATGCTTCTGTTATTGCTGATTTGTATGGTTTAAACTGTTATGCATAATTGATAAGGGGTTTTACTAGTTTTGATTAATAATTATGTTATGCTGGTTTCGGCCTTTATTAGTTAAACTTTAATGATTAAAATCTGGTTACATAAAACAATCACTGTAAGCGGGGGATTAATTTGGTATGATAAAATTCGGTTAAAATTCCCAGAACAATAGGTTTTGACATAGCAATTATCAAAAAAAATCTAGTTCCTGGGGAGCTACCCTAGACCCCACCAATGGGCAAGCAACGAGACGTTAAATTAATTATGTGAACCTTAGTGCTACACTAAAATTATTGATGGGAATGATTTAATTAATATCATGCCATTTGTGTTATATTTGATATTTATCACTCTTTATTGTTTGATTTAACGGCTTGAAATGAGAATAAGTTTACTATGTTTATAAGCATGAGAATGTATTATGGAACCATTGTGAGTTGACTATTAAAGCAGTCTCACAAGTACCTATTGGCATGGTTGATTTGCTAAGGCGGGTATGTGGTTTGATTGCATGCGTGGTTGAGATGCATATTTCCTTATGCATTTAAATGTTGATTACATGTTTATGTAAATGAGGTGATCTTCTAGGGGTATTGCGGTGCATAGTAGATCACTCCTTAGTATCTGGGGTTCATGTCTTGGATTGTGTTGTTTCTTTAGAGAAGTTGGGTTTATGGGCTTTTTGTTAGGATGCAGTAGAAGGGACTTGTTCATGGGATTAACTCACATTTTGTTGACATTTCCGGTCCCAGACAGTTTCAGCCACAAGATTGAAGACTCAGCTCACCATAATTCGATCACGATCATCCACTCTTTTCCAATTTTTATTTCAGTGAAGGTTCTGCTACCTTTTCAGACTTTATGGTTTTGGATATTTAAGGATTTGGATTTAGGGGTCCGTAGTTTACGGGATTTCCGAGTTATAATAAATAATTATTATGGATTCCAGCTTCATTTAATGATAGTATACGGGATTTCCAAGTTGTAATAAATAATTATTATGGATTCCGGCTTCATTTAATGATAGTATTTCCTTCCGCCTAGGGATGGCAATTTGACCCGCCCCCGCAGTTACCCGCCCCACCCCGCCCCATTTTTGGCGGTTTTGGGAAACCGTTTTGCTTATTTGGGTCGGAATGGTTTGATGCAATAAAAACCCGTACGTGTTTGGTGCGGGGGCAGGGGGAGGTCGTCCCGCCCCGTTTAGATAGGCAAATTACTTAAGTACCCTTATTTCATTAATATGTATATTTCTCACTATACATTAATTACCCCATATAACAATATTAAAGTAACAAATAAATTTTATTAAAAGGAAAGTTATAATGGTGAAAAATTGAAGATGAAAAAAAAAAAAAAAAAAAAAAAAAATTCCATTTCAACAATAATTAAATTATAATCTTAAACAGGGCGAGGGTAAAAATGTTAAACGGTTACGGAAATGGGGTAAAAAGTTTCCCCTTTTTGCGGTTTTGGGCGAAGACGGGGGCGGGGTTTTTAAACGATTGCGGGAGTGAGAGAGGGTACACCCGTCCAAACCCGCCCCCGTTGCCATCCCTACTTCCGCCATGATTTCTTTCATTATTATATATTATATTATGTGCTTGTTTATTACCAGGTGGTTGATGTTTCCTAATTTTTATGCACAAGTCGGGCCAACTTATATGTGAAAATTATGAGGTATATCACACTTGTGCATCAAGAAAATGTTTTCCAAAATTACATTTGAGCTTATTTTGTTAAATCCTAGGTTTGCTTAGACTTGGGCATTGTTGTCGATTGAAGTGCACAACACATTGATCGATCCATAGATCCTACACTTCGATCTACCTAGTATATTATAGAAGGATCGAATTGTGTGATATATGAATCAATCGACACCACTAATACTTCAATCCTTATGAGCTGTTTTTGGACAAAAGTTAGTTTCCTTTAATAGTTTTGTTTGGTGATTTAGCATTAGTTGTATTGATCATAATTGAAGTATTTTTGGGCAGAAAAGACCCGAAATATACTTATTCTAGAAGTGTCTTTTTATCCACAAGTAAATTAATTGGAGAAAAATATTTCAACTCGGAGAACAAATACTATAGTAGTATAGTGGTTAGCTCCCTAGCTAGCTAGCTTAGTGTGTTGGAGTGCGTGCAAACTTGGGCTACTGATACTGATATTTAGTAGTATATTTGGGAGTGAATAAGTCGGCTTAGAACTCCCATGTTTATTTGACGAGAGGTTAGAAATAGCCAGCGTGACTATTCATGATGTAATAATATAGATCATAGTTTTGCTACAGATTTATTGTTCTTTGAGATTGTATTGGATCTATGATCCTAGTTTTGAATTTTGTCTAATTTTGTTTTGCCTTTCAAGGTATGCCCTTGATGTGTTTTTGTATATTATTGTTTATATCTAATAATAATAAATAAATAAATAAATAAATAACACAAGAAGTCACAAAAGGTTTTTTAAATATATTTTTAAGGTACTTTTTCACCTTATAAAGGAGAAGGTCGAGAGTTCAAGCCCTTAAAGGGCATTGTGGGTTTGTAAGTGTTTTCCTATCAAAAATTAAAAATATATAAATAAAATAAAACATAAATTCAACCAAAATTCATATAAAAAGGTAATGAGAATAAGTGACATAGGGCAATATGAAATAATTTTTGACCAAACTTAGCGGCGGCAATATGCACTTCATGATATAATTAACACGCCAGCCTGCAAGCTAGAAATGAAAACCATCAGAAATTAATTTATGATAAAGAATTACTTCTCAAACAACGAACAAAAAACAATCAAATCAAATCATACATCTCGAATTATAAATTTATTAACCAAACTTAGTGGCGGCAACAACCATTCTGATAAATAGATAGGGTGGTTTTGATTACTACTACCACCATCATCTGCATGCAGCAAAAAAAAAAAAAAAAAGAAGCAATAAATCAATTTCTGATTCAATAAATAAATAAACTAATCGTCCATTCTTTTTCTTTTAAAGCAGGGAAACAAAATCAACCACAAGTGGGCTTCATTCCAACCTGAAGCTCGCACAAGTATTCTGTGTGTAACAAAGGACTGCAATGACCAGAAACAATAATTAAGGTTATAATCATGAAAACAGAATACTTAAATAATGATTTCGTTATAATTGCATGCAAGTACTTCTCTTTTCTTTTTCTTTTTTCTTTTTAACTTTCATACTCCCACTTTGCCCTTAATGGGACTCCAACCCTCAACATCCACTCTGGGGAGAAAACGGTATGCCAATAGGGAACAACCCGTTGGTTAATTGCCTAATGCCTATAATTATACGGAAACGAAAACTACATGCATTTCAAAACTTCAGGACAATCAATCTTGCAAACATACAAAATCGTTCACAGCAGATTTTCAGTTTAATTCAGGTATATAAATGACTATAATCGAACTTCATGCACTTCACTAGAAAGTAAATAACGAACCTTTAAAATTTAAAATATACACTTTAAATCACCAGTCTTTGGGAAGTAAAGAATTGTAGGTCTCAGGGCTCTAGTCATGAGAGGGCTCTGGGAGAAATAACTCAATGCAGACCTGACATTCCATATAGTCATACTTCTAAGGCCTGAACTTGTAAGAGGCACCAATTTGCAAGCTTATTATTGTTGAACCAGGCAATGCCTTCGGCAAATAAATTCATTATAAAACATAGTCAATTCCTTTTTTCTTTTTCTTTTTTTTTTTTTTTGGGGGGGGGGGGGGGGGGGGATATATGAATAGATACAATAATGCATACATGCACTTTGCTCATTAAAAAAACAACCAAACAATTTTTCTCATTTAAATCTAAAATTAACTGCTTAAACAATAACAAACAGATATATACTCATAAATATTTTTTGAAGATATATATTCACAAAATGCAGAATGATACTCAACAAATGATGGATGATTACCTGCCAGACAGCAGGCATATATTCACGATACGACAGTTTTTCAGGATCACTTCTTATAGTTCTCGAATTTGAGACATTTTGTGAAGGCCATTTTCTTGAATACCTATTAGAAACACTATTTAACTTAGACAAGCATACAGATCTGAAAAGCAAATGCTGCCTCGTGAATATATATTACCAGTATAAACTATCAACAATCAAGGTCTTTGAACTTAAAAACAGAAATTGTTATAAGAATTCAAGTGGAATCATAGGCTTTAAACTAGTGCCACTAAAGAGAGATCAATTTCTTGGTTTATATTGAGTTTGTCCAACATAGCCAATGTAAAAGAATACACTCTTTTTTACTCTCTCGGTAAATGAACTTTCTTAATAGATGACAATGGAGATGATATAGCCCTAAATGAGAATATTGGGGGGGGGAGGATACCCAATGAGTATGTTTTACAAGAGAAAGAAACGCACATAGATTTACCTACATGGTACACTAACTTCTTTAAATCATATGGATTTTTGTCAGTATCTTGTGTGCTTGCCCAGAGAAATGAAACAACATATGTTACAATCTGTCACATGTTCACATTAAAGGACCAACAACTCAAATTCCTTCACATTGCAAAAAAATAAAACCCAAATTCTGGGTCTTTCCAATCCCAAAAGAGTAAGAACTCACCTGTTAACTTCCTTTGTTGAATATTTGTCACCTAAATTAGCCGCTTTTGTAGCTAAAACAAGCATGGGATGCACCAGCAGAAGCTTTCGGATCTCTTGAACAACAGTTTCTGACACATTTTGAAAAGAGAAGCTTTTCCTACGCATCAGACAAAGTTGTAATTGTGAGACAAACCCCCCTTACCAAGCCATCATTAACAGATGGCTACAAGCTATCATATATATATATATATATATATATATATATATATATATATTATACACATACAAATGGCAAGAGAGTTATGTGTATGAACATGTAGATATAAAATGATAATAAAGTGAACCTGCAAAAGAAGAAAAGAAATGGAACAAATTTATACATATAAATTTGATTAGCATGTTGTTTAAGGCCTAAGAACATATCAAATTCAGACCAGTTCAAGGTACAATGCAATTCAATCCATTAAAATATAACTCGAGTTTAAAGTACTCAAATCTTCCATACATTTAAAAAAGATAAAAAGAATAGAACATTCAAGTCCGTTGATGAATATAAGATGCAAGAACATTCAAGTCCGTTCAAGGTCATGGCCACTTGCATGTTGAAGCCTATATTGATGTTGATTGGGCCGGGTCTGTGACAAATCGACGATCTACTTCAGGATATTGCACATTTGTTGGAGGTAATCTTGTTTCATGACAAAACAAGAAACAGTTAATAGTAGCTAGATGTAGTGCAGAGGATGAATTCAGGTCCATGGCACATGGAGTTTGTGAGTTGTTATGGCTACGAACGGTGTTGGGTGAGTTGGGTTATCCTGTTCGCGAGTCAATGAAGTTGTATTGTGACAACAAGGCTGCTATTAGCATTGCTCACAATCCAGTTCAACATGACAAGACAACGCACATTGAAGTCGATCGACACTTAATCAAGAAAAAGCTTCGTCTTGGGCTGATTTGTATTCCATATGTCAACACACATGATCAGGTTGCTGATGTTTTGACTAAGGATGTGAGCAAGACTTGCTCGCAAAATATGTTAGTAAAGTTAGTAAAGCTGGGCATGATAGATATCTTTACACCAGGTTGAGGGGGACTGTTGTTAGGGGCTTATTTGTTATTACTTATATAATATTAGGGCTTATATGTAATTTCTGAAACTTAGATGTGGTGTGATAGCCCAGTGGTAGGGCATGTGTTGCTTGTGTGGCCAAAGGCCCATGTTCGAATCCTCACTCCATCAGTCATTATTAGTAAATAACTATTTAATTAAATTATTTGAACAAATTAGGTTTTATGTTATCTTTTCTTATACAAGCAAGAGACTTGGTATTCTTTTTGTGTTTTTTGTCATTTGTCTCAACAACTAACTTATCAAAAAAAAATATATGTGTGTAATTTCTTAAACTTGTTAATATAAATAGAATGTGGTGGAAGGATGAAAGTATTCTTTCTCTCTTTCCCCATCTCTCTGTTTTTTCTCTCATCCTCTTTCTTCTCTTTTTCTTCTTCTTCTTCTTATACTTTGTTCTTGATTTGATTATCTCTTAAAGTTAACACGGTATCAGAGCATGGTTTGTAAAGCTCTAGGTGTGTAGTTGAAACCTAGGGCAAGTTTATGTAACCCTAGTGGGTGTGAAGGGTTTTGAAGAGATTCCAAGATGGGATTTGTTTGCAAGGAAGTAGTATTAATCACATCCACACGTACCGCGGATCCAACTCGATTGGTGTTTTTTTCGATCTGTTTTTTATCTATTGAAGTCTCGATTGGTGTTTTTTTCGTGTTCACGTGGTTCTACAACAACGGCTTTTTCTTCGTCGTTCACGATTCTGGTATAGTCCATTTTGTTGCTTTCTAGGTTTTGTGTGGTGACTGTGTGGTCGCCTTTTTATGCATCTCAGAAGACGGTAATCTTTCTAGTTGAAGTTTGTGTGTTAGAGAGGTGGTTCTCTACGTATTTTGTTGCTGCTTTTGTTTCTGAGGATTGTATACGCGAAAACTATTTGATAAAATGTCTGGCTCAAAGGTGACTTCAAAAGAAGTTGGGTTTGCTCTTAGTCTGACTTGAGTATTGGGAGGTGGTAGTGATCACGATCCAGGCTTTGTATTACGACTGTTAGGCTGGATGAGATGAACTATATGGAGTGGGCTCAATCTGCTCGTATGCATATCACATTGTAGGATGATCGACCACATCGAAGGGACTATAATGTATCCCTCCAAGAGTGATCCTGAGTTCAAAGAGTGGAGAGTGCAAATAATGCACTAATTATGGACGGCTATGGAAGAGACATATTCCTCAGTAGGTAATTTTGCAAAATTGTATGAACTCCAACAACAGATTTCAAGATTCGAGCAGGAAGACCAAATTCTTGCTACATATTACCATCTACGTGGTAAATGGGAAGAGTTAGATCACTACCAAGACTACATACTTGTGTGTGCAAGTGATGTTAAAGCATTTCGTGTATGGGGCTTATCTAAAACTTGTTAGTTTAATAGAATGTGGTGGAAGGATGAAAGTATTCTCTCTCTTTCCCCATCTGTCTCTCTTTTTCTCTCATCCTCTTTCTTCTCTTTTTCTTCTTCTTCTTCTTATACTTTATTCTTGATTTGATTATCTCTTAAAGTCAACACAATGTACCTTACTCCACAAGTATACCATTTCAAGTATGCCACTGACGGTTGAGTAAAATAGCTAATCTTCCTACAAACCAATCATCTACTCCAGTTAAGGTCTCACTCATTAATGATCTTTCTATTACCTAATGCAAAGGCACTTGCTCTTTAGCTTGCGTGTTAAAGCCTATACTGATACTGATTAGGCAGGGTCTGTGACAGATCAACGATCTACTTTAGGATATTGCACATTTGTTGGAGGTAATCTTGTTTCATAGCGAAACAAGAAACAGCCAGTAGTAGCTAGATGTAGTGCAGAGGCTGAGTTCAGATCCATGGCACATGGAGTTTATGAGTTGTTATGGTTATGAACGATGTTGGGTTAGTTGGGTTATCCTGTTCGCGAGTCAATGAAGTTGTATTGTGATAACAAGGCTACTATTAGCATTGTTCACAATCCAATTCAACATGACACGACAAAGCACATTGAAGTCGATCAACACTTCATCAAGGAAAAGCTTTGTCTTGGGCTGATTTGTACTCCATACGTCAACACACATGTTTTGACTAAGGGTGTGAGCAAGACTTGCTTACAAAATATGTTAGTCAAGCTAGGCATGATAGATATCTTTGCACCAACTTGACGGGGGGTGTTGTCAGGGGCTTATTTGTTATTACTTATATAATGTTGGAACTTATGTGGAATTTCTGAACTTGTTAGTTTAATAGAATGTGGTGAAAGGATGAAAGTATTCTTTCATTCTCTCTCTCTTTCCCCATCTCTCTCTCTTTTTCTCTCATCCTCCTTCTTCTCTTTTACTTCTTCTTCTTATACTTTACTCTAGAATTGATTCTCTCTTAAAGTCAACACAATAAACCTTACTCCACAAGTATACCATTTCAGGTATGCCACTCATGGTCGAGTAAAATAGCTAATCTTCTGTAAATGCAAGAAAATCTCTCCCTCCATTTTGACAGAATTTCAGTACATTTCACAATAATCTCCCCTCTTTTACTCTCTTCACTGCCTATTTATAGGCAATTACAAGTGCTGCTGGACTATCAGCTTTGGGCCTTCTTTCCAGTGGGCTTGGCCTTCTTCGATGGATCCTCCGAGCTCGGCCCATTCTGTGGTGCTCCTGTATGGGCTGAATTCAATTGTTTGACCCGATGCCACGTCTGCGGATCATATCCGGCCCATATTACTTCTGGTATCCTCAACTGCCCCCATAATTACTCCCTAATTAATTAGGGGGTAATTATTAGAGGCTGCTAATCATGGCTTAACGGCTCGAGAAGATCTCTTGGGAAAATGAACGGTTGGATTCGGGAATCGACGCTCCGAGATTCAAAAAAAACCTCCTCGGTTTCCCGAATCCTTGGTCTTCGGGCCCACCTTGTCTTTATAAGCCTCAGGGATGTTCCATCAATCTTCTTTACCGTCTCTATCTTGCTTTACTGTTAATCAAACCCTCATCCGTCTCTTCCGAATCAAATCTTCTCCGGCGATTTCTTGCAAAAGCTCCTTTTTCCAGTGACCTTGCAGTGCTCTCTGACGTTTTCACTTTCTGAGGTTAGTTTTGTTTGCCTTTCTCTTTCAAAAGACCTCTTTTTCTCCCTTAAAGTCTTCATTCATTCTCACCATGACTATAGATCTAGATATTCTTCGCATGAGACTTTGTCTTCCTGACGATATACAGATTAGAAATTGCCCTAAAGAGGTGGATATTAGAACTGGTGCTGGCCTTCTTCCCGGCGAGATTCTATTTTCCCATCTTCATCTTAACCTCATTAGGTTCCCTCTGCATCCCTTCTTTAACTATGTTTTTAATAAATTAGGGCTTTCCCCTCTGCAGGTAAACCCCAATTTCTTTAGAGTTTTATCCGTTCTGTTGATTCTGATCCGTGACAGAGGTCTAGATCTTGATATCATAGATCTTCTCCTCTGTTACAAAGTTAGCAAGATCCGTTCTGATGAACCGTTTTACCACTTCTACCCGATCGAAAAGAGATCTATATGTAAGGACAAAATCAAATCCGAGAAGGGTTGGAGAAAAAACATAATAGGGGTTAGAGGGGCTTGGTCTTCTCCAGTTGCAGAGGACTTTCCTATCCCGAGCGCCTTTGGCGAATGCTCGGTTTCTTCATATAAGAAATTCAAAACGCATAAAAGTGACTGTTCTTGCGAAATTTGTGTCCCTCGCTTCTGTACTTTTCTTTGCCATTCCCTAGGCATTCCTTATAATGACTTGGGTTATGATGTTTGCAGGGATAGGATCAACTACCTGAACGAATACGTTTTAAACAACATCCCTTCCTGCTCAGATCTCCTTACTTAGGATAACTTCTTTAATATCTCACTTATTGGTAAAAACATGAGCCAGCTTCGGATTCCTTCCTTCGGCAGGAGGAAAGATCCTCCGAGGGTTACTGCTACTTCTGCTGCAACCTCCTCTTCGGCCTCAGCATCATCTTCGGCCACTATTTCTGATACCACTCCTTCCACCAACCTGAACGTGGTAACTGCCAACCCAGTT